ACATAGGAAAAAGATCAATTGCGTACAGGGGAAAGTTCTTTTTGATGAAGGAGCGAAGCTTTCCCGACTTGTAAATACAAAGCGGGCAGTAGAAGACAACGTGGTTGATATCTTGACGAGGGTCTCCGCACGGACAAGCAGGAGAATCAACTATGTTTTTTCTAAAAAGGCTGTAAAGCAAGTTATAATGGTTGCTTCTAATCCTGGACACGCAGACAATTTCCTCTCTCTTTAAGCCTTTGTTGTGGAACCAGGTTTTATCAGAGTAATCCTTATATATTTCAGAGTATTGAGTGCCTTTGACTAAGGCAGTTGATTCCAGATATTCTCTGAAGGATGCAAAGCGATGTTCCTTGGCCTCTACCTGGAGATCCGGATAGGGAACTTTAAAGAAAGGGCGCCTGCTGTTTGCGGCGGCGTGTTTAGCTAAACGGTCAGCCTTTTCATTGCCTCCGATGCCCTTATGAGCGGGAATCCAACAGAGAATGATGCTCATCTTGCGCGATTCAGCCAAGGAGAGTTTATGCTTAATTTGATGGATAACATGATTGCTATGATTGCAACTTAGAGAAGCTAACGTTTCTAGTACGCTCTTCGAGTCTGAGAAGATTACTGCATTTTCAATGTTAAAGTCAAAGCATGCGTTGACGGCTTGCAGGATAGCCCAGGCCTCAGCTGTGAAAGTTGAGGAAGCAGAGGGAAGTTTTTCACACAGAGTGAATCCAAGACTAGGCGAATAAACACTTGATCCAAGCATTGAAGACTTGTCGGATTTGGAGCCGTCTGTATAAAAGGCAGTAACTTCTATGGGAAGCTCAGCGAAATATTCCTGAAACCTCGCTGTGACTTCGCTTGGTGAAGATTCTTTTTGTCCGAAGGGCATACAGAAATCAACGTCTTTGCGGTAGATGGAGGTTCTGTAGTCGTAGTAAAAGGCTGGGAGAAATGAAGAACGATGGATGATAGGCAGAACGTGCTTGGTGGCAATGTATCGTGAGAAGATGGGGATCCTTTTTCTTGCTTTTGCTAAGCTATCTTCCGTTGTGACAAGCACTTCGAGTCGACGCAGAC